ACCCTTCGCAAAGCTTTCGGGAAAACTCCCTCTTAAAAGCAAGGTACACTCTGCAGAAGCACCCTGCCTTGCATGTCATGGACTGCACCTGCTCGGCCAGCCCACGGACATGTTGCACATCTGCCTTCCTCAACAGAGACTGCTGTAAAGCCTTGTCGCGCTTCGATAACGGAAGGCATGCCCCTGATGGCAGCTTGCTCACATCCGGCTCGTGCATCCCCAACCAGCGCAGATGACTGCAGCTTCTGTGGTACACCAAATAAATTGCCACACCATCGGGGTCAAAGTCGCCCAAGTAAACCTGCATCAACCGAGGAGCCACCCTGTGGAGTTTCTGGAGGAAGCGCCTGGTCAAAACATCCGGGTAGCCCCTTCCAGTCACAAGGATCAGTGGCAGAGTTGTGAAGAGCTTGCTCTGCAATAGGTGCTGAAAGACGGTGTCTTTCTCAACAACCAGCACAATCTGCGCACGCTCGCCAACATGAAAGCGGGTTCGGTGGTCCAGCATTGACTCTCCGATGCATGTTCCGGTCGCTCCCTGCGCCGCCACGGAGAGAGAGTTGTCATGGCTGAACGAAATTTCACCAGCCAAGAGACCCTTTTCAGTCGTCAGGACACCCAAATGGGGACGACCTATCCTCAACGCGCCCACTGCATCGCGCATTGCTCGGTCCATGATCTGCTGAGAGCTGAACAATCCACTACCTTCTGACACAACTCGGTAGAAGAGCTCACGCTGAGTAGCTGTTCGACCAACCTCGGCTATTGCACCATGTGTGACGCAACAAATGATCGTGATGCAAGCTGTGGTGTCAAGCTTTGCCCTTGTGGGCAGCGGATTACCAGAGCAGAGCAGTGCAAGTTCTTCGCACTTCAGTCGCCTTGTGCGGATTCGAACCCCACCCTCGGAACTCAGAGGCTCAGAGGATGCTAAACATGGGCCCTCCAACGTAACTTGAGCTACAGGTGGACGCGAGAACTCGAGGCTCGTTTTGGGCTGCTTCGTTGGACGATGCAAAAAAAAAATCGCGCCACTAATTCTCAGCACTAGCACTCATGGGTAGGTAATGCTTATACAGTCCTCCACTGATGGAGCTGCTCCACTCAAGAGACACGAGGGTCACAAGCTGAGCCGCCCGCTTTGTTCAGCCTGTGTACATTATCCAGGGCGGCAAACAGCCGGGCTATGCGCCGAAAGTTGCGAGACACCAAGGCTAATCGGTGCTGGCGATCAATGGCCGGGTTGAAGTCACCATCCTCCTACAGCTAAATCAATGCAGCACAGTGCAGAAGCACATGACATCGTGTCGGACACCCAACAGGCCTGGATCAACGCATGGCATGGCTCTGTCAGCAGGATTGCTGCAGGTAGACGTGTGCCGGGCTTGATCTGGCGCCCTGCCTGAAAGACTTCGTGAAGGCAGCTGACAGTCAGGATAATCAGGGACAGACACTTCCCAAACACAGAGCATCTCCAAATTCCTCAGGTTCACAGGTGGTTGCCTTGTAGCATTCCTCCTCGGCATTTGCATTCGCAACCACGTCAAAGACTGCCCGCAGCACGTTGTGTGTAAGCCTGTGCAGGGTGATACCGACAATGCCCGCAAGGAAGCAGCAGAGGCAACATGAGTCTTGGACTAATCACAGGCCTCTCCACGGCGAGGACGATACCACTGTGGTCCAAGCCGCGCGTTTGCCCATTGCTCAGCTCCAAATCCGCTAACGTTGGCTCCGCTTGCCGGCGAGCGTCGACGGCTCCGACCATGGTTTGTCTTCGCCTGGCCTGGCTCTCGCCCTAAGCTTGAGCCGGCACGCGACGGCTTTCCAGACTAGCAGCTAGCAACCGAAGCAATGCTGGCGGCTGGGCCTTGATCCTGGAGTAGATGTAGATCACGAAGAAGTACGAGCAGTAAAAGGAGACCTGCCATGGAGGCACAGGATCTTTGAAAGCCTCCCCGTGCCCGGCTGGGTCCCGAGCACAGCCCAGCATCAGTGCGATGCCGTGAGCTGCGAGCAGTGAGTACAGGAAGAAGAACGAACACCTCAAGAGCCACGGCGAGGCGCCAGTTGGCTACTGGACTGCAAAAAGCGAGCACCGCACTGAAGGAAACCATTCATCCCTGTCTGCAGGAAGAAGTATATGCAGTACCTCGCCAGCAGCATTGGAATGCAATCGGCGCAGCATGTTCCAAATACACATTTCACTGACATGCTGAAAGCAAACGAGGCACAGGTAGAAGAATGCCGAAACTGCCACACCCGAACCTTCCCAGAGTTCGCGGATGGGTTCACGTGCATGCGCTTCAGGCGGAAGGAGAAAACTCACAGGCAAAGGGTCTGTCTCTCTGTCTCAGGGCATGGCCAAACGATCTCCACCACCAACGATGGTCCTGGGCTGTTCCAGACAACGATGCTGAATTATCTCCACGCTGTCGATGCCAGGAACCCAGACCTCCGCATTGAGGTGGAAATACGTAAAAAGCACCGTCACCTCATTTCCAGACGACCCTCTGTGCAGACTTTCCACAGTAAGAATGCATGCAGTCTTTTCGTCTATTTCTAGGGGGCGCGCTGTGCCGGCGACTAGTAAGAGCATTGTGAAGGCCAATAGCAATATCCCTCGGTGGGCAATTGAGGATTGCTCCTGTGCTTCAACGCCGATTATCTTCATTGACGTGGGCAGCACCACCAAGGTGCACTGTGAGGCTGGTGCCGTAGAGGAAGTATATCCGAGGGCCCCAAACCTGTTGGCGAAGATGAATGCAGAGCAGCCACATAGGGCGATTCACTTCTTGGCGGTACTTGCTTGTGCTCTCATGTAAACAAGTGAGCTACAGACAGAGTTGAAGATGTAGTGCAGCTCAATGTAGATGGCACCTTGGACCCAGGACAAGCAGCATTTCTCGTTGCATTGACAGCTCATGAGGCAGGGATCCCCTTTGATGGGGTAAGAGCGCTGCTGAAGGGCAGGAAGCCAGATGCAAAGAACTGGGTCACTGGACTCTGGTACCTACGGCATGGGACGGCCTGCCTCAAAAAGGCTCAAGGCAGACGGCGCACCAGCGGCACGACGGAATCTCCCGCGCTAGCTTGTTCGTTTTGCACGGGAAAGGACTTCCCTCAGCCTGAACAGCATTGACAAATTGCAGAGACCCCCACTCGAGCTTTCAGTGATTGAGGGGCATGGAAGGAAGAGGCTCTAATCGGGTGGTGTTGCATAAGCATGCCGCTGGCGATTCGTGAACCACTGCACGCATGTTAGAAACTACAGGGTGCACTACAGCCTGCAAGCACACATTCTTGCAGAAGCAGGAGCGTTCCTCTCTCAACGACCTCGTATTTACCCGTTGCCAGGCCACGGACAGCTTACGACACCGAAGCTCCATACGCAATCAGGTTTGTGTGCAGGCAGACACCTGCGCCTGCTTCAGGGATCGATGCCGCCCTCCAGTGGAGCAAAGCAGTCAATAGACTCTGTGCAGCTTCACAACTCAGCGGATTCCGCAGGTCTCTGGGTCTCCGGCCGATGATCCCACCAAGCACCGTCAGTGGGAATGTAACACATGCCCACATTGCGAACATCAGCAATCTGTGCAAGGCGAGAGTGGAGAGTACGTTCTCCCGTGCGATTGGCAGGCCCCCTGAATCCCCGAACTGCGCACATGGTCGGGAACGGGAAGGCAGCTGTGGAGCCATAAAAGATGGCAACCGTGTTCAGAAAGGACCTGCAGCTGTCGCAGAACCACAGCCAAAATTTGCAGAAACTAAGTTATGTAGCTTTCTTGATGTTCCAAGCCCTCCAGGCCCTTGGCCAAATCAAGAAGGCCGGTCCCATGAAGCAGAGGGCTGTCATAAAGATGTTCCTTTCAGGGGCTTCACTGTTCAGCGAGGCGGGCGCTCCGCACGAAGGGAAGATGTTGACCCCTTTTCTGCGTGTGAACCCGGGCAGTCCAGGCCCACTTCTCACCCCCGAGCTTCTGGTAGAGGTTGGCACTCACAAATCCACCTAGAAGAGCTGTGACCTGGCCATTCTCAGATGCAACTTGCCCCTCTTCCCCCACATCTTGACAAGGCTAGGGCCATGTAGGAGATCACCGCGGCAGAGGCAACCGCTCCACGCTGGTAGTAGGCTCCGATGCAACCAACGAGCACGACCATGATCATCATACTGAGTCAGGCATGTCAGGCCAGGTCTCATGCCACATCCCGAAGCACTCAGGGAGCCTGGTCATCTGCGCACCGGCACCTATCGCCTTGCAGTCTTGCATGGCATATCATGGCATGACACTGCACAAATCGCAGAGACTGCAGATGCCGAGCTGCGGAGCAGAAGAAGAGCCTATGCTTGGGAGCGCGGAAGACGTCCGCGTGCAGCAGCTTCCAGCCTGGTGCAAAGGCAGCCACGTGCCGAGCCTCTTTGCATTCGCAGAATGGCAGTAAACGCCCGGCCAGGCCTGTCTCTTCTTCCACCGCATTGAGCTCTTCGTCTGGAATTTGGAGGTATCTCGACAAATCCTGGGCCGGGATTTCTCGAAAATCTGCGATTCGGCCCGAGCAGTCGCTCGCATCTGGGTATCCGTGCTGACCGCACCACGCGGATGATGATCAGAAGAAACAGCGACCTTCGCATTCCACGGCTCAGGCATTGCTCTCGGCGACTGTACGGGCTGAAGTCTGAGAGGGCAGCAAGATGAGCAACATCAGCACGAAGGAGTTGATGATTGCGAGCCAGTGAATGTCCATGTTCTGGTGCCTTGGAACGCAGACTCCACACTCTAACAGAAAAGCCACTTCTCTGCTGAGTCCTTGCCTGCGGGGTCTTCGGCGGAGCCGGCATTCCCAAACTTCACGGAGTTCACGGCATCCCCCCTTCTCCCCATAAATTCCCTTCCCGCAGTCTTCACTGGATCTGCATGGATCTGCACTCCGAGCGTGCTGTTGGGTTGTTGCGGGCTCTCCCAATCGGCACAGGCTGCGCCGCCTTGTCCGCTGTGGTGTGTGGTTCTTCGTTTGCGGGCGGGTTGGGTTCTGGTTGCGTTTCACGCAAACTCTGGAGTTGCTTCTGACTTTCGATGTCTCGTCTGCCACCGTGTTCTGCCGCTGTGCGGTCTGCAGAGGCTATCGTCCAAAGATATGCTAAGTTCATTAAGTTCGGTTTCGATGACTGGCAACCAAGAGCAGGAGATGTGCTGCCACCGCATGCATTCAATCGGACCCCTGCGCAGACAAGCAGAGAAGTCTCCTCAGCAGTGCTCTTCTCTTCCGGAGAGCAGCACTCAGGCCGAGCGGCCCATGCGGCATCGTGGACTTCAGCTGCAGCTCCAAAGCTTGGGAGGGAATGATGTGCGGCCTCGGGAGCAACTCGGTCCAGAGGGCACAGTGCCGCAAAGCACGAGAAACGGTGTCAGTCAGAACACTTTCTGTTCTAGGCATCGGGACAGGGGTGTCCACTGTACCGAGTACGAGAACTGGATCACCTGCAGTATTCGCTGCTACTTGGACGCCGTTTGGCAAGTTTCTGAGGCTGTACCATTCCCTCTTTCCACTCGGTGATGTCGACCAGGTGCTCTAGGTTGAGCCTGAAAGTCCGTGGGGCTTCAAATCTACGACGTGCTTCGCCGCGAACCCAAGATGTCGAACGCAACAGTCTCGGCCCCACACTCCCTGGTCACGTTTGCGGACACCACCTCATCTGCGCTGGAGCATCTAACTCGCTCAGCACCAGGTGGATCTTCATGGACGGTCTGCTGTCAGAAATGCGGAAGGCCTCCTTTTCGTTGTAACCGATAATGAAGTCGAGGTAGTTAACAAGGAAATACCTAGCGTTGCAGAAGTCAGTTTACCATGCTTCGCCGGTTTCGATCCAGCCATCAGTCGTCTGTCGTGCTAGGCCTGTCAGTGACCTGCTCATCCTTTTCGTTCCCCATTGTCGACACAACGCCGAATGGTCGGTCCTGATACGGCACCGCGCTTTCCGATGCAGCAACAAATCTGCAACCTGCAAGCATCTTGGCACGGATCAATCGGCAGCTCACCAACGAAAAGCTCGAACATGTAATTCTGATCTATGGCTTCCTGGCACATGGGCAGAATCTGGCACATGTCCGATCGTATGGCTTCCGACAAAGTCATGTTGAAAAGAGCCGGTGGGGCTTTGAGCATACGAATATCCGCCTCAGTCATTCTCCTGTGAACAAACACGTGAAAGATTGCTTTGATGCGTAGGAGTGCAGGCTGCCACTGCCTGTCCTTGAGCAAATCACCGTCCTTGGGACTTGTCGCTTCATATGCATTGGGTACAGCGAATTCACCTTGGCACAGGTTGGGTGCAACAAGGTCTTTGAGTGGAGAAAGGAGCCCGGCTAATCGATCTCCACGCAAGACCTCGCGAAGAACAGCTGTGGAGTTGTGCAGATTTTGCACATTCGGAAGAGCAGAACACCCATAGGAAGAGAGAAGGCCCGTCCTGACCAAGGGTCATGAAGTGCGGCATCACGATTTTCGGCTTGCAAAACGGGAAGTCATAGTACTCGTACCTGCCATGCAAAAGTTCTGCATGGCGGTCCTGAACTCGTGCAAACTCAACGCCGGGCAGAAGCACGTCTCGGTGGGGTTTGAGTATGGCCAAGCTTTGTTCATGCCTGAAAATACCACACTGTTGTCGCAGCTATCCCTTGCTGGCAGTACGACAAGCCCTCGGCTAACTTGAATTTCCGCGTCATCTTCGAAAGATGCATCTGCCACGGCCTTAGGAACGAGGAAGATCACACCAATCGTGGAAGTCAAGGCACAGCACACAGAAAGATCAAGATCGATGAGAGACCACTGCCACTGATCTGTGTGGTGGAAAATCTTGGCAAGCCTTTTCATGCTAGAAGTTCTCACGAGGTGCCCACCAGCAACGTCACCAAAGCGAGGTAGCTCCTCCGGCTCCTCCGCATTTTTGGGCCTGACTTTCTTCTTGTCGCCGATGCCCGTGACGTGCATGGGACGCGGACCGCCAAAACACTTCTGGGCTCCCAGCGAAGAGCGGCAGGTCCCGCTTACGTTCCCATGCCCCCCTGCTTTCCCTTGTCCACGTGGAGACAAAGACGTGAAAGCGGCGTGACACACGGAAAATGGTGCCGGAAGGAACCACTTTACGACACCCGTAACTCCAGTGGCATGCAACATGCTCTTGTACATCTTTTTGCAAACGATGAAGCTCCGCTGAATTAAGCAGAGCACGCAACGACTCGAGATGCATTACAGTGCCCGCAGATGTCGCGAGGAGTCACTCGCTGCTTCGACTCTTGACTGGCCTCAGCTGCAGCGGTTGTTCTGTGGTGACCAGGCAAGCTACTTAGGCCTTCTCGTTCGACAGATTCTCCAAATTCAAACTGTCGGGGGGTGCGCCCTCAAGCCTGGTGAAAG